CCATTTGTGGTGCTATTCTACATACATATAACTAAGTGAGAAAGTGATATTACTATTACTAAAGTGATCAATACATAATCAATATATAAGAAAGGAAAATTCCCACCACAGTTGTATTTGTTAAATTAATTAATTTATAAAATTATGAATAAGACACAATTATCTGTTTAAAGTGATCAAATTAAAGAGAGAACTAAAATATAAACAATATATCAGAACGATCTAAAAGTATAAAAACAAGTTAATCCTGCTCCCACTCGGGAGTGGCTTCACTCAGACACCAGGTACACTTGTTTTGTCTCTCTTGTATCCTCTATATCAAAGGGGGCAAAAACCAGAGAAAAGATTTGTAAAGTACAGATATATTTATAGAGCACTTTTCAAGATAAATATCACAAAGTGCTTTACAACAAAAATGCTAAAAGATTAAAACAAAAGTGAAGAGTCATATGTCTGAGTTTCTGCCTAACCATCAAGTTTACAAATCTCCTTTCTAACAAGAAGACTTCAGTAGAAACAGGGAGAGCCAGCATTTTGCAGGACCAGTTTGGCTCCTCAACGGCATTGATATGCAAACTGCCATGATCAGCGCCATGAGAACATTCACAGAAAGTGGAGGAATGGCTGCAATCACAGCATTGTAAGATGGTGAAAGGTGTACCCTTAGGCCTCCTCATCAGTTCAGAGATGGTGTCATGTTTGTATTTTTCATAAGGAAGTACAGGAGAATGTCTGTCATATAAAAGATTTAATTTTCTTCAGCAGTTGAAATTACAAGTTACAGCGCTGGACCTCTATGTGAAATCAGCTGTCTGTCTTCATACAAAGGATGACCCTGGATCAGGCCATACAGTTTTATACCCCAACAAAAACAGATGTTATTATGACTATCTTCTTCCAAAAGCGACGTGGCAGTCCTGCTGTCTCCCTATAAGTCTTCTCTCCGTTCACGTCCAACCTCGCCTTGTATGTCCTCCTCTCCCTGGAAAAACAGAGACAGACACCTGCCTGCATAGCCTTGATTATTAATATTATCCTACTGATTCTATTTATTATCTAAGTTTGGGAAATTCTTGTGGGGTCTAAACTCAGACCCCGCTGACTCAGGGACTTATTCCCGTGAAGAAAAAAAGCAAGGCAACAGCGATCGATCGATTTACTTGCGCAAGGAAGGCCTCGTCGGTATCTGAGGAACGCACTTCAAATCCTATCACAAAATGGACCCCGACTCCGGCCTCCGCTCGCGGCCTTTTATTGTAAACTGTTACAATACACAATAATTTACACAAGCACCTCCCCTCGTAAAACCCCCCTTGGTTACAAAGACAAGGCACTGTGTGTGTGCATGTGTGTGTGTGCACGTGTAAGCATGTGTGCAAGAATGTGTATGTGTGTGTGTGTGTGTGTGTACACATGAGTGAGTGTGTGCGTCTCTCTGTGTGCGTGACTTCCTGATCACAACTGTTTTTAACAACATCCTTGGTCATAAAGACGGTAATCTCCCCCACACCCAATATATGGTTCAGTTCCTGTATTGGTTCACCATACACAACACAAGTGAAGCCATAAAAGGGCAGGAAGCTTACCAAACATCAAACAAAACCTTGTGATAAAACACTACAGCCTCCCTCCAAAACCTCGAGAGGCTGGGGAGGGGGACAAAGGAATATCTTTGATCACACAGTTTGAAACAATGTAGAGATGGTAAGCATAAAAATGACAACATTTAACAATTCACTTTAACATTTCCCTCCTGTTTTGTTATTTTTATGCTCCAAATTATTCCTGTGTAGTATATTCTCAGCCATGCACCACTTGCTTGACATTTTGAGCGCAGGCGTCATTTATACACAGGCTTCTGTCATGTCATTCATTTCATATTGTTGCAAAAGTACATAGTTAACAAATGTATTAGAAATAATTTTACTTAGCATTGATCTTATAAAAGGTAAAATGCATCCTATACTTAAGCAAATCAATGTCAACAGTCCAAAAAAAGGGGTTAATATTTTCAAAAGAAGATGCCACCAAGGACCAGATTTTAACCAAGCTATCCAGCTTTGTGGTTCTTCTCCTCCTGGTGTGCAATTCATCATGTATTTCTGCAATGTGGTTAAATTCTGCAGTGCTTCATAAATGTCTCCTCCACTTGTATATCCATCTGGTATGAATGTACAACATGTTTCTCCTATCAATTTGCATACTCCTCCTTGCGATGCAGTTATCAAGTCCAAAGTCAGTCTGTTTTGCAATACCATTGTCCTTATGGCCTTTTGCTCCTCTGCTAAGGCTGTCCCAAGGGTCTGAGTCCAATTTTTGTGTCTCAGTAGTGCATATCTGTTGATTTCCACATGAGTTCCAACTTTCCCGACCCCGATCCATGGGAACAATCCTTGTAAGAACTTGGCTCTGGGTCCCCAGATGCGAAATTCCCAGGGGACCTCACTCAAATCCGTGAGCCCTGTGCTTGCACTCTGTACGTCTCTCTTTGTCTTTGATCATGGATGGTGTTCAATTCTTTCCATGAAGAAAACATGATTAGACAATTTCACGAGTACACATAGACCACCCCACTTTGCTGGTAAAGACGGATAAGCCTTATGTCCACATAAGAAATACCAGTCTGCTAACACCCTCGTACCTCTAGGTGTTTGTGTGATTGTTGAGCATTTGGTCACATTCTGTCTTCCCTCAGTAAGTGTCATTTGGTACGAGGAGTCAAATGCACAGTCTGCTGCTCGCTGAATTTCATCACTCGCACACCTGGCATTCATCAGACACGTCAGGCACTTAATTCTGTTCAAACAAGGGCAAAAAGAATAGGTGACATTGCATAAATGCCATGGCAAATCCCCAACTTGGACTGACCCATTGCCCAATACACATGTGTAACTGGCCTGCTTCCAGTTTGTTTAGCAGTATAATATCCGGCAGCGGGTCAGATACTTGGGGCCAGGCCAGCAGGTCTGTCTTACCAAAGAAATTCACCTTCTCAGCTACTGGCGAATCAACCTTTCCATTCAGGTTCAGGGGAGTTGAAAAGTTGGCAGTGTTC